TGTTGACTCCAAATACTTAAACTCCTGCACCTTCTTGACCTCTGCCCCCTTTAACCTCACTGTTCCACTCCCCTCCCTTTTGTTCTTACACATGTATTCTGTCTTACTACGACTGACATTGTACTCCTCTCATACATATCCTGAACTACTCTGACGTACTTCACTGCCACTCCAGAATTTATCACAGAGCATCTCAGTATACAGGGAGTTATTGTGCGAGAGGAAGGCAGTGATTTCGTGTTTAATCTCATAAAACCATGACATTACTTTTCCCCTTGAAAGCCAAGCAAACTTCTGAACGACACAGCAACTGGACATGATCTAATCCCAGGTCTTTGCACAACTGTATGAAACAACAGCTGTTCTTGGCACGCTGTTTAATGTAGTTCACTATTGCTATGGCATCTTTGTGTTATCAATGATTTCAACAAAGAACTTCATCCATATTTTCTCATCCTTCAGCTCTTTAAACAATTGATTTCAGACATTTTCAGGGCAATCCTCACAATGTTTCATTTCAATAGCCACACTGTAGTAGTCCACAGGGTGTAATTGGGAATTCTCTCTCTCTCTCTCACTCACTCACTCACTCACTCTCTCTTTCGCTCTCTTTCTCTCTCTCTCTTTCTCACACACACACACCTGCCCATTTTACCTACTTTGTGGGGACGAATGAGACAATTTTCACATCTTTATAAGTTCAGCATAGTTTCAGCTACAAAAGCCATTCAGGTATCAAAATGTTCAGCTCTTCAAGGACATTCCTACTTGTATATATTTCATCTCATCCTTCAGATAATTCAAAAAAGAACTTCAGCCAACTCTTCTCATCCTTCTGCCATTTTGCCTATTGATTTCAGGCATTTTCAGAACAATGCATTACAAATCTCGCATCCACACATGCATTTTCTTCAGGAAATGCAATTTTTCTAGTTTATCATTATCTTTATCATTATCTTTATTATATTCAGTCCGTTTATTGGCACTTTATAAGTCCAGCATACTTTCAGCTATACAGGCCACTGAGGTATCTACCTGTTCAGCTGTTCAAGGACATCCCTGCTTGTATTCAGCTTTTTTATAATGTTTATACTTTTTAATGTATTCAGCTTTATTGTTTACAATACAAGTCAATGGGAGCACAACGTGCTGAGTCAATGACAGTCTTGGAGTGCCAGCTGGTGGTTTATAAAATGCAGTACAATTGGGACATGCCCCTACATAACTCCTCTCTCTCCCTCTCTTTCTCCCCTATACACACGCTCACACCTACTTGTTTTACCTACTTTGTAGGGTCCACTTGGACTATTTTCACATCTTAATAAGTTCAGCATACTTTCAGCTAGAAAAGCCATTCAGGTATCAAAGTTTTCAGCTCTTCAAGGACATTCCTACATTGTATTTATTGCATCTCAACCTTCAGATTCTTCAACAAAGAACTGCAGCCATTTCTTCTCAACTATTTCAACAAAGAACTTCAGCCTTTTCTTCTCATGCTTCAGCTGTTTCTGCAATTGATTTCAGGCATTTTCAGGACGGTCGTTCAGCTTATCAGCATCCACACGCATTTATGACAGGAAATGCATTTTTCTACTTATTATTATTATAGAGGAGAAACCCAACAAATGGATAATGTTATGTTTAGAGCGCACTGTGCTGAACCCAATTGGCAAAAAAGTTCATTTGCATTACCCCAATTATTTTACTGTTTTGGGAAGTGTTACTGACTTCATATATAATCATTCTGCTTCATTTTTCTACATTTAAAATGTAAATATAAATTAAATTAGGAATGTTATCTTTGTAATGCAATATATATTTGGCAATGCATTTAAAACAAGAAAAAGTGCAAAATAATTGAATATTAATTTTATTATTACCTGATTCCATATATATTTAAAATAGGTTACAACCTCAACCAGTTTTTTTCTCCTGCCACCGCTCTCCTCCACCTGTAGGTCAACAGAGATGAAACATCAGTGGTCTATTTTGAGTTTTATGCTACTTCCAAAATATATAAATATCAGTGCATGATTCTCATTTTCATTACAGTACATGTGATGCCACCCAGTGGTTTTGTTCTCTCAGACAGTATGACGTCCACACAGAGGTGGCCAGCGTGGAGCTTTGCAATTTTACAGCTGGT